GCTGGGTGGGCGGCCCAAGGCGCGGCTGCAGGTCTGGCTGGCCGGGCAGAGACTCATGGAGCCACGGCTGCTGCTCCCAGGTACTGCTGATGGCCCACGCCCTGAGGCGCATACTCTACTCCACCTGGTGCCCCGCCGACTGCCAGTTCGCCTTTGTCGCCCGGAACCCACGGAGCCCAGCCAGCAGGCTCTTCTGCCACCTCTTTGTGGGCAGCCAGCCCGGGGAGGTATCTGGGGCCCCAGGCCGGAATGGGAGCCGTGCTGGAATCTGGCCAGGTTCCAGGGATGGGGGCCCTCGAGGGCTGACTTGAGCCCCCAGGAGGCATTCCCCCCTTACCCATTGCTCCTGCCGCAGGTCTGCCCCACACACACACCCTGTAGAGCAGGTCAGTGGCCTCAGCACTGCCCAGGTTCGGAGGTGGGAACCTGGCCCCAGGGCAGGTGCACACCACCAGGCCTTGCTCAGGCTGGGAGCTCTGCCTGGAGCGCCCCTCCCCTCATCTCACACACGCACACTTACCCCTCAAGGCTTGGTCCATGTGCGTGCAAAGCCCGCCTTGCTCCCTAGACCACTCTGCCCGCAGGGATCCTGCCACACGGACCGCACTTTGTCATTGCTCAGTCCCTGGAGTTCTTTGAGAGCAGAGACTGGTCCAGGACCCGAACTGCTTTAGTGCACAGCTATGTGTTTGGGTGGCAGCTGTGGGTGGACAGGTAGATCTGTGAGGTCCAAGCCAGCGTGCCTGTCGTGAACAGCTGAGGCTGGCAGCCGGGCACAGGAGGCTGGGTGGGTTCTGTCCGGCACGCCTTTCCCCTCGCGCCTGTACAGCAAGCCCTGCCGGGTCCGTGGTTGACAGGTGGCTGGGGCGTGGCTCTTGTCTCCTGAAGCACTCAGGTCCCACACGCTCTGTCGGGCAGTACGAGTGGCGAGTAAAATGTGCTGGCCCCAGGTGGGCACAAGGCCTCCGTGGGGAGTTTTCTCCACTTCATTAACTCCTCAAAGGAGCACAGGCAGGTGGGGAAGAGGAAACCGGGGGGTGGGGGGGAATGTCATGCCCTTCCCAGGGCCACAGGCAGCTCCTCAGGGAGAATCGGGATTGGAACCCAGGCCTGACCATGGGGCAGCTCTCTGAGAGGGCAGAGAGCCGGACTCCCACAGGACGTGGGTGTAACCCAGGGCAGGAGCGCAGGGGCCCACGGCTACACTCTCTGCTCCCAGCACAACAGCCGGCACGGAGCAGGTGCTCAGTGTCTGCGATGTGAGTAAAGGACGCTGCGGGGAGACTGTGCTGTGGTGAGGTTTGAGGGATAAGTAGGAGTCTTCTCATGGAGAATGGGGAAGAGCACGTCGAGCTGAGGGACTGCACCGTGGTGAGGGCCTGAGAGTGGATGCTTGGAGACTTTCCACAACTGAGCCTGCCTCTTTGCCCTGCCCAGGTCCAGATCCTGCATCTGCTGCTCTGCCGCTCCTTCCAGCTTGCTTACCTCTTACAGCACCCCGAGGAGAGGGCACAGCCTGACACCTACCCAGGGCCTGCAGGGGACATGCCTCCGAAGCCACCGTCCAGCCCTGGAGGCCCCCCTGGCCTGGTGCGGGAGCCTTTCGGCCGCGATCAGCTCTCACAAAACGTCCATGCACTGGTCTCCTTCCGGCGGCTGCCTGCAGAGGGGCCAGTGGGCAGTGGGGTATGCAGCTCCCTGCCAGGGAGTGGGCAATGGGCAAGGGAACTGGGTGAGGGTTTGGGGGTGGACTTCAGTTGGGGTTGCCTGGCCCGAGGTTGTTGGACCTTAGTCTGCCTGCCCGCGGACCCCTCCTTGGTGCCCTAGAAGGAGCTGCCGGAGTTGGAAAGCCGTGGGGTCTCCCGCCATGCCCGCCTAGGAAATCCCTATTGCTCGCCCACGCTGGTGCGCAAGAAGGCCATCCGCAGCAAGGTGATCCGCTCGGGGGCCTACCGAGGCTGCACCTACGAGACCCAGCTGCAGCTGCTCGCCCGGGAGGCCTGTGAGTTGCTTGTGCACCTGTGCCACTGGGGACGGTGGGCATGAGCGTACGTCCCATTCCTGCAAGGCTGGGTCTATACCTCCGAGTCCTGCCTGGGTGTGCGCGTGTGTGTGAGTGTGTCCCGGGTCTGTGCCTGAGGGCTGGTGCAGGTGACCGGCTACTTGTGAACCTTAACTGGCGAGTGAGGGGTGCCTGTGTGGGTGGGTCTATGGGGGCTGGATATGCGCAGCAGGCAGGGAGGGGGCATGGTGAGGAGACAGACGTGAGGGAGATGGGGCCTGTGGCAGTCAGGCAAGCCGGCCATGAGAGGGCTTGGCCCCCTCCCTCTGAGCCCTGGCTGGTCTCCACAGTTCCTGCCGCATGGGAGGCATGGCCCCGGAGTCCTGGTGGCCCCTTGTGCCTGGTAGAGGGCGAGGGCAGCCTGACAGAGAACATCTGGGCCTTTGCTGGCGTCTCCAGGTAGGGTGGCCTGGCCTGGCCTGATGCCCTGTCCCTTGGGGTTGGCAGAGAAACTGACTGCGGGCTTCCCCGGGGCCCTGACAAGTGCACGTTCCTATGAGGGGTCAGAGTGCTCCCAAACTCCGGGACTCACCGTCCTGGGCCTGTTTTCTCGGCTGTAAAATGGGGATAACGAAAGGACCTTCACCACAGGCTGCAAACGACCACACGGAGTGATTCAGGTAAAGCCCTGTGCCTGGCCTGTCATGGAGCCTGAGCCCCGTCGGTGTTAGTCCTCAGTCCCCTCTTCTGATGGGGTCTTGACGTGGTCGGCAATTCTGGACCCCTTAGGAAGCACTTAAGCTTCTAACGCTTCCTTTCGTTGAGTGGCTACTCCGGGAACCCATTTTTCAGGGCGTTTGATCCTCAGGCTGCCACAGGGCTTTGGGGCTGTCCTGTGCCCAGGGAGCAACCTGAGGCTGGTTAGGGGTGCTGCCTCCAGCCTCTGCCCTCTGTCCCCAGGTCCTGTGCCCTTGCCCTGTTGCGCAGAGACGTCCTTGGGGCCTTCCTGCTATGGCCTGAACCGGGGGCCAGTGGCCAGTGGTGCCTGTCAGTGCGGACACAGTGTGGCGTGGTGCCCCACCAGGTCTTCCGGAACCACCTGGGCCGCTACTGCCTGGAGGTGAGTGTGATGACCTGGGCCCCCAGCCCCTGGCCTGTCTTTTCTAACCACTGAGGTCCTGTGCTGCCTCCTCCTCATCTCTGTTCCCCATTGGCTCTCTCAGGCCCTGCCTCTTATCTGGCTCTCCCCAGGGCCCCCTCCTTCCTTATTGGCTCAGCTGGGCCCACCCACACTGGTCCAACCCTGCCTGCTCGCCCCAGACCTAAGGGCTCTTGGAGGATGGGGAGGTATCTGGTGGTTGAGGTCCTGTTTTGGGGCTGGGGTTATGCCTCACATTTCTGTAGGGATCCTGGCTTTCAAAAGTCTGCCTGTTCTTAGCAGAGGAGGAAACTGACTCAGAGAGGGCAGGGGTTTTGCCTAAGCTCACACAGCCTCTGAGTCTCCACCCTAGAGTCTCATCCTGCCCACAGGTACACCCTTACTTCCAAGCAGAATGCTTCAGCCCTGCCAGGCTGGGAAGGGGAACGAGATGGCATGTGGCTGTGTCACAGCAGTGCTTGTGACCTCTCTCGGCTCTGTTTCCTGCTCTCTGAAATGAGCAGACTGTGGGAGAGGGTGGCTGGTTCCTGCCTGAGCCGCTGGGAGGAGGACTGGAGCTGAAGCCCCCTCCTCTCCTAGCACCTGCCGGCCGAGTTCCCCAGCCTGGAGGCCCTGGTGGAGAGCCACGCTGGGGCTGAGCGCAGCCTCTTCTGCCCGCTGGACATGGGCCGCCTGAACCCCACCTACGAGGAGCAGGACTGTGGGCCCGAGGGCCGACCCCTCCGAACTCTCCGGCCCCTGGGCCATGCCAAGTCCGAGGCAGAGCTGCAGGGCCTGGGCTAGGAGGCCAGCCCCGTGCCCCTGCCTGCTGAAACCAACCCAAGGCCTCTGCAGCTACTCTACCCCCTCCCGCCCTTCTGCCTGGTCACTCTGCCCTCAGATCATCTCCCATCGCTTTGCGTCTCAGGGGAGAGCCCTGAGATTGGAGACGTCAGTGGCTCCTCAGGGGACCTGTGACCTGCTGAGATTCCAGGGGACAGCTGGCGCTCTAGCTTCCGTAACCTGCTGCGTGACTTTGGATTCTTCCACCTCACTCGGGGACAGGGCTTCCCCAGTCGGGGAGGCAGAGTGAGCCCTCCTGGGCGGAGAACTGGGAGTGAGCGAGCAGAGGTGACTCAGTGGAGCTTGTGGCGTGGAGCCTGGGGCCAGGCCGACAGCTCACACCGGGCCTGGTTCTCACATCTCTGAGGGCGGAGTCCTCCCTTGAGTTCTCAGGAAGGGGGTCAGGAAAGTGCAGCAAGGGCAGGGTGGACAAAGAGTTTGTCACCCAAAGCCCATGCACAGTGACACCTGGGTGCAGCAGGGACGTGTACGACAGCTGGGGCAGAGCGCTCCAGTGTGCTCAGGGAGGCTGGCTCATCTCCACTGCAAACTGCACGGGTGCCAGGCTTGTCCCCTCCCCTGCACCGCCTTAAAGCACCACGGCAGCCCTGCTCCCAGGCTCATTTTTGTTTTTCTAGCTATGTGCCCAGGAGTGGCCAGCAGCAAGCTTTAGTTGGGTGACCAGGGCCCTGCCCGACTCATCCTACAGTCTGCAGTGGTTTGATGGCTGCCACGGGAGGTGGCCAAATGCTGGCATTTCCCTTAACACGGCACTGACCTTGGCTGTCAGGGGCCACCTCCCACATCCCCGGGCCAGCCTCGCAGATGGAACTGATGTGAGCTCGGCCCTTGGGCGCTGGGCCTCAGCAGCAGTGGGAGATCCAGGCTGCAGCCCTGCGGTGCTGGACAAGTGCAGGCACCTTCCCCTTTGTAGGGAAGCCCTACAGGCACTTGTGAACCTGCCCAATAAGTCATTCTGAGGCCCAGGCCTCCTCCCGAGGCTGGGGCTGCTCTTTCCTCCAGTGGGGTGGGCCCTGCAATGCCTTAGGGTAGCAGGTTGCTGACTCTGGAGAAGAGAACAGCCCCAGAAAAACAAAGGAGGGAGGTAGCAGAAAGGTAGACTCCTGGAGGTTCCAGCCCCCGACCCCCCAGGACATGACCTTGGCTAGGCACTTGTCACTTCCTTGCCTGTCCAGTGAGATGCCCATTCTCATGGGCTAGGAGGAAGCTGTCCTTTGAGGCCCATTTGCAGCCATCTCTGTTGGAACCCATCCCCTTCCTGGTGGAGCCCTGGTCTCGGGGAGGAGGGGGGCGGTCTCAGCCTCATGTTCCCCTGGCCAGGAGCAGGGTTTAGGGACAGCCGATGCCTGCAGTTTCAGCACCAGGACATGCATGTAAGGGGACCTGGTGATTGGCCTCTGTGAGGGATGGGTTTGCTGTGTGGGCTGTCATGCGGACAAGGGGTCAGGAATGCGCAGCACACCCAAGGACCAGCCTTCCCCAGCACTTGAGCATTCCCTCAAAAGCGTTCACGGGTCACACATTACAGATGGGGCACCGTTTCTGCCCCATGCATGCAGACTCTGTCTTACAGACCACGTTGCTCTCTGTTCCAACCAGCACCGCCGGGGCAGCCCAGCCCGCTCTACGTGTGGGCTTGAGCCAAATCAAGTGCATTTCTTCAGATCGTCTAGGACAGACTTCTGTGAAAGGCGAGGGCTTCGCCCAGTCTGTTTTGTCTTTGCCAGACACCTTCTGCTGGTGCTCGAGAAACTCTGGGCACATGTGCATGTGTGCCCGAAGTCCTGAAAGGACGGAGAGATGAGAAGGGATTGCTGCCTGACCGTTCCTCATGGGGGCTGCTTTCTCCTCTGTCTCTGGCAACTGCATAGACCCTCTGGCAAAATAAACAATGACCAAATCAGTTTTTTTTTTTTTTTTTTTTTTTTGCCGAGGGACACTTGTGTTAGCCAAAGAGAAACAGCTTTCTCCATCCGGTTGGGATTTGGAGCAGGGAGGCATACATGCCTGGCCTGTTTCTCAAGCCACTGGGGTGGGAATTCAAACTGCAGGCAGCCATGTGGGATCTGGCTCCCTTAACTCCCAGGCCACGGGGCTGGCCCATTTACGCTTTCTTCTGGGGGTCTTTGTTTCCAGCGTCAGCCTCCCCTGCTAGATATGGGCACTGGGAGAGCTCCCCGCACAGCATTTGCTACAGTGTTGACAAGTGTGGGCCAGCAGTGTTCTGTGCAAAGGGGAGCCTGGATGAGGGTTGGCAGAGCCACTTTCTGGATGGAGGGACCCTAACTGAGCCAGGAGGGTTAGACCAGGTGGTGTCTCCAACCACAGGTTGTGGGCTCCTAAAGTTTTTGTTTATTTTAAAGTCTTGAGTCTTAGAAGTAACACGAGTGTCCCCAGAAGCAGCTCCACTCTGTCCGGGAGTCCTTGTGGAGCCATGCCGCAGGCTCTAGGTTCAACAAAGGATGTAGAGGGGCCAGCAGATGGCATAGCGGTGTCGCTGGACTCCCACGTGGCTAACCATGGTTTGAATCCTGGACCCCGTGACTTGAAAATCATTCAGAGTGCATGTGCTTGCATGTCCAAGATCCCTGGAGGAGAATGGAGGAGAAGGGAGTACAGTGTGGCCACCCGCTATCTCATGGAAAGGGGAGGGTGTGGGGTGATTTTTCATTTTCCTCTCACCCTCTCTGTCTCTCTCTCTCTGGCTGAGCCCACACACCCAAGGCAAAAACCTCTTAAAAAAATAATGAACAACGTGGGGGGCGGCAAGTGGCCTGGTGGTTAAGGGCACTGGACTTCCACACGGCTGACTGCAGTTCAAGTCCTAGTGTCTTTCTCACTTTCCCTCTCTCATTCTGTCCCTCTCTGGTCAAATTAAGTAAAGTTAAGTAATTTTAAAAAATAAACGATGTGGATAAAGGACAGCAAGGTCCTTGTCGCCTTTCTCTGTAGGCGTTAGAGCCCTGTCTTGGCTCTCTAGCTCAGAGGTTAAGTCAAGCTTGGGCACCGGGTTTTAGCTGGGCAATCTCAGGAAAGTTGCTTAACCTCCGAATGGGACAGTGAGAACTGGGTAAGATAACGGACGCGAAGACGCCTGGCGCTGGGCAGTCGGGGCCGGTGATGCCCGGACGGAGCCCAGGCGTGCGGGCCTCTAACCCGGGATCTCCTGTGCAAAGCTCTCTCAGCCCGGCGACCAGAACGCGCAGATGCTCCCCGGAGCTGGCTGCTGTGACGCCTGGGGCGTTGCCTAGCAACCGCGAACGCCGCGGCGGCTTGCGTGCGGGCAGCCGGGGTGGCTCCCCGGCTCGGGGCCTGGTGCGGGGCCCGCCGG